TCAGAAACAGTGCTAGGAAATAGAATGGTTGTCATGCACACCCTAAACATCATCACAATGGATCAAATTTTAAGTTCTACAACTGTGTTCTCTGAAATGTTAAAAACATATTTCACAGCCTTATAAATATTCAAAATACAGCATGATTTTTTTCATTTAAAAATGTAAATATCATCGTTAATTATTTGTTATTTTTCTAATCGAAAACCCACATAGAAGGAAGGTATTTAAATTTTGTGCAAATAAATTATAGAAAACGGCTAAAACATACGATGAATTACCTCAATAGTGTCTTGACACTAACTTTCACTTTTTTTCACTTGTTTTAAAATAATGCATTTAAAAAAATTAAATAATATATTAATATTTTTTTGTATTAAAATTTTAAATAATAAATTTTCTAAAGAAAATAATTCATCATGTCTCGAAGTCTTGATTCTAAATCATATTTTTGTTTCTCATATATATTTTATTTTCAATAAATATGTAGATACTTAGTCTTTAACTTACAAATCATTACACAATTTTGTTCTCTAAATAATTAGTCTGTATTATTAACAAAAAAAATTAATTTAATGCTTTTTAATAAAATAATTACGCATTTATTACAGTTTTGAGAATAATTACAGATTTATTGCACAATGTGACGCTCATTTTGGGCCGTCTCACCCTAAGGGGAGACGCCCCAATGGGGCGTCACTCATCAGGTGTTGACACGTGTCATTTTTTTTCCAAATTTTTTTTTAATTTAATCATAAAACTTTTGAAGGCCATGACTTTTGACTCGGGTATCCAAATCAGGTAATTCTTTTTTCTGATTCCGCATAACTTTTCGAGATCTACACAATGACATCTCATTTGATATATTTTATTTCTCACAAACATAATTTAAATTTAAATCTGGTAATCCTTTTTCCTTAGAGATTTAGAATATTTATTTAATTATTTCCTTTATTAATATAGATTTTTCAAATTTATTTTTGGGTTTAAATCACAAATCAAATCTTTATTTTATTTTCCTTATTAATAATAATTGTTACTTTTAATTTAAATCACAAACCGAATTTTTTTTATAATAAAAATAAAAATGTGACACGTGTCAACACCTGACACGTCACCAATCACGTCTAAATTGGGTTTCAATCAGAGGCAATCACGCCTAATTTAGGTAATTTTATTTTTGAAAAACATTCATAAGCCATCATTAATTTCAGACCACGAATAATAGCCCAGAAGATTATAGCTTTAATCATTAATTTCAAAAATAATATCCTTCTTCCTTAGAGATTTAGAATATTTATTTAATTATTTCTTTTATTTCTACAGATTTTTCAAATTGATTTTTTAGTTTAAATTACAAATCAAATCTTTATTTTATTTTATTTTTAATAATAATAGCCCATGAAAAAAATGTTTGTGAGAAATAAAATATATCAAATGAGATGTCATTGCGTAGATCTCGTATAGTTATGTGGAATCAAAAAAAGAATTACCTAATTTGAATACCCGAGTCAAAAGTTAGGACCTTCAAAAGTTTTATGATTAAATTAATTATTTTTTTTGTAAAAAAAAGACACGTGTCAACACATGATGAGTGGCGTCCCAATGGGGCGTCACATTGTGCAATAGATCCGTAATTATTTCTAAAACTATAATAAATACGTAATTATTTTATTAAAAACATTAAATTAATTTTTTTGCCTTTGACAAATAATTTATTAATCTAATGCGATAATATGCATCATAACAATGCGCTTTCAAGTTATGCATCATTTCTATAAGTGAATTATGCAAAAACTAGTGCAAACTTGTCACGTGTTGCACTCTACAAGACATGCATCACTCTAGTGTGCGTTTAAGTTAGACACTGTCCCATTTGCACAAGTTGTGCATGGGGTAATGCGTGAATTGAACGCATGTTACTAGATTATATGTCTTTTCACATTAGATTGATAAATTATTTGTCAAAAAAATCAAGCTGATAAATAATTACACAACCATAAAAGTTTTAGCGGGAGCTTACCATACCTGTTAAAACAAAAAATTACTGGCAAAAAAATCTTGCTTAAACTAAGTTTTCATACAAACTACAAAGTAGTCACTATTAATTATGTGGTCTCCACTTGGGTTGGGGTTTCAGGTATATGAGTAAATATCCCTATTATTATTAATGGTGCTGTGGTAGCAAGATTGAATTGTCATTTATGAATTGCAATGCAGCCCCCTCACACCATTTTCCTCTCCCAATTAACCCCCCCGGCTTGTTAGGTCACTTTCAGCCATAAGTAAGCATGGCGGTTGGACCACTTTATATAATTTCTCAATCTGTCACCAACGGACCAACTTTCTTTCTTCAACATAATCCCAATTGTTCCTGTCATGCAATATGGTTTGTTTTTAAAATTAACAAAGGGTCCATTTTTATTTTTTTTTGTTATAAGAAAATTCTTTTTCTCTTATTGTAGACATAAGATGTGATGGACCCACCACCTATTAAAAATAAAAACTAAAAAAAATTATTGTACATAATTCAATGTCTCGAATAGGAGAAAGATTTCTCCAACAAATAAAAATTCAATATGAGAATTCTTTTCCCCTAAACAAATAAGAAAAAAAGGAAGTGGAGTGTCAATAGAAGGAAGGAGAAAACCAATTTTTATTGAATTTGAGAGAGGCACATACCAAAAAATTGAAGGACCCTTTTATATAACTTTGGTTTTGAAATGACAAGCTTGAGCTACAACCAATCAAACCCCAGAAAAAACCAATTCTTCATGTCAAATATAAGGATTAAAGGGACTTTTTTGCCTTCTAGATAGCTATTGTTTTGATTGATACCACACCTTCTACACACAAGGATATGATAAGTCCAACAAACATGCACGAGATGCAACAATTTTTTTTTTTTTTTTTTTTTTTTTTTGGCGATATGTCAATTTGTGTCACGGTTGTTTGTACCAACAAATAATTTAAAAGAATAACCTTTTGCATTTATAGTTGACTTTTCTCATAGTTTTTTTTTTGGTTGGTTGTTTTTTCTCATATTATCATATAAGAAACACGAAAAATGGATTATTTATTAAATAAATGCCTCCGCATGATTAAAATCTATGTAGCACCGATACGACACGCGACACGTGACACGACACGACACGACACTCCGACACGTCAATCCTAAAAAATTATAGATTTCGACACGTTTTAATATTAAATAATATTTTTAATTTATATAGTGTATATTTCATTTAATATTTAATAATTTAACAAAAAAATGAAACTAAATTAATAATACCCATCAACACGTTATAAAGATGGAAGCTTTAATAAAAAAAATAAGAACTGGGATGAGAGAGGGATATAATATCAGATAGAGAGATCAAATCATATTAGAGAGATTAGAGAGAAGAAGAACAACAAGAGCGTGATAGGAATTGACAACAATGATACTGAGATGATCTCTTATCTACTTAAGGGGAAAAAAGACAAAAAAATAAAATTGATATGATCAGGTGGAAGCTTTATTAATATATTTTAACTTTTAAAAAAAATATAATTTCTTTTTAAAAAAAATTAAAAAAAAATTACGAAAATGCCATTTGACCGTGTCGGACACGGTCAAATTCGCGTGTCGGAATGGTCAACGTGTCGAAAAAAGTCAACCGCGTGTCCGACACTGTGTCGGAGCGTGTCGCCGTGTCGGACCCGACTCTTCCTGTTTTTACAAGTGTCCGTGCTTCCTTGATTAAAACCATAGTAGTAAGACCAGGAGCCGAGTCAGAAATTTTATTGTGGAATAAAAAATTATTATAAAAGGTGGCTTTGCAATAAATTTTTTGAACTTTTTTGACTTTTAATCTAAGTTTGGAAATTATGTAAATTTATTTATGTGGAAATGAATGCCCCTTTGGGGCTATGCCCCTCCCCATTACAAAAAAAGAAAAAGAAATGAATGCCCTTATTATTATTATTACTATTATTATAAGGATTATGATAAGACTATTTTAAAGTAATTCCAAATAAGGGTGCATTCATTACTGATTTAATTTGAAGTGTATTGTAATTTAACTCATTAAAATCTACTAGCAAATATACCCTTATTAGCTCATTTTAGAGTTCTTTTTTCAATAACTAATTTGTGAAAATTTTCTAACAACAATAATTGTTTCCTTTGAAAGTCATACATTCACGATGTTTTGGTTCTTGTTGCTATAGTTTCTTTGGTCTTTACTTGGATAGCCCTACAAGTATAATTGTGAAACTAATCCCTCTAGTTAGGGTTGGTGGTTAGATAAAGTTCTCCCTGAAGTAGCAATTTTAAGACTCAGACCCCTGACATAACAAGTAATATTCGCCTAGGATCCCAGTTTACTTCTACTATTACAGACCCTGTTGTGTTGTTTTTGTTATAATTTATTAGCGTGAAATTTATAATTAAAATAAGAAAATAATGTATTGGCTTTATAATAACGAAAAGCAAAAAGATTAGTCCAAGAGCTCTACATATCTTGTTCGTGAAGGTCCTAAGTCCTAACTATTTATATAGAGACCGAAGTATAAGAAATGAACCCAAGACAAAGTATTAGCAGGCTGGTCCACAGGAAGTAAGCCCAACTCCCCAATCAAAGGCCCAAAAGCCCAAGAAGTTTCATACACAGGCTAAATAGTTAAATGCTCATCCCATTAAGAAATCATTTCTCTTGTTTATGTTATCCCACATCAGAATGATTTATTAAAATAAAATTATAAGATTGTGTTTGATGCACAATGGGAAAAAGAACAAGATACGAGGGAAAAAAATCATCAACAAGGTCATTCATTGACAATAACAATCACTGAAAATGTTGTACACCTAACAACTAATGAAAAAAAGAACAATATCTCAGTTGGCAAAAACAATCGCTTTGTTAGTATCCATCTCTTCCACTAGCTACTACCTATTTTTCTTTAACAATTCAAGTACAATTACAATTACAAATGGAAAGAAAATTTTCTCTAAGGGAACATAGAAGGGATGGTAATCAAAGTCAAGATACCAGGCCCTGCCATTTTGCTGTCACACAGAAGCCTCTATCCTAGGCTCAAATGAAAAGGCAGACATGAAATCTATGACTTGGCCATTTATGCAACAGTTTGGCAATTCAACCCAATTGTTGGTCTCCAAATCACACAGAACATAAGTACATAACTCAGGGGAGTTCAAGCATATAAAGATCTGGTTGGCAGCCCCAACACAGTTAATATCTGCCTTTTTTCCAAACCACTCATGAGAATTTGCTGCAGGCATTGCTGCAATCTGGTGCCAGCCTCTATTAGCCTCATCATATTTCCACACCCTAAGAGTTGCTGTTTCCAAGAATTCTGATAACAAAACAACTAGCATCTCCCCATTACACTCCACAACATCAATGGAATACTCACTGAAAACAGGCAATAACCTGGGGTACTCAAAGAAGCACTTGCATGTCAAATTGCAAGCTACTACTGTCCCTGAGGAGCTAAGAAAATGGACAAACTCCTTGCCATCTTTTTTAGTAATAACTGATGAATATTGCTTAGATGGGCTTCTCTGCATGTTGCTTGCCACCACAGTTCCAGCTTTGCTAAGGAAGTATACAACATTGTCATCAGTTGAATCATATTCCATGGAATTATCATCAACCTTTCTCCTCATTGCAGTCTCATCTTCCCAACAGCCAGAAATTGAATTGTAGACCTTAAACATAAGATTTGGAAGTTCTCCAAAGACTAACACAATTTTGAAGGAGAGTTGGTCTTTGGAAGTTGTGCTCATCACAATGGCATTGAGAGGTTGATGTTGTGGGGCAAAATGGAGTGAAGGGAGTTCACTACAAGATCCTGTCACTGGATTGCTTACAATGAAGTTCCCTGATAATTTACGGTAGCAAATCAAGCCACCAGAGGATGCAACCGGCATGCAACTTCGGTTAGATTCTTCATGCAGAAGAGAAGGGTGATTGAGCCTTTTCCAAGTTCTTTCAGCAGAGTCAAAGATAACAGATTGGTTGAGATTAGGAGCAACCATAAAAAACCAAGGATCCCGTGAAGGAACACGAGAGCATGCTAGCTTGAAACTGGAAGAAGCAGCAACTGATTTCCATCTTTTACACACAGAAGTAAGGCGAAAGAATGTGGAAGTTGGAAGCCAAGAAAGTATCCTCTCGAAGAGATCTTCATTAAGGTCATCTAGAGAAAAACTGTTGAAGAGTAGATTATCTCCATTATCTGGTGACTTTCTCTTCAAACTTACACTTCGGCCATGCCCATCATCACATTCCATTGACAAACAATTTGGAGAAAACAACTGCAGCAACAAGGGAAGAAAATGTTATCAAGAAATCAACTTTTCCATTTTCAAAGACTATTACTAATCTTAGAAGACAATGAAAGTGCATGAAGATTTCCAAATTGAACAATATTTATATATATTAATATTCTAAAAAGGAAGGCCTCAAGAATATCAGACCCCTCGTTCCCTAACCCCTCTTCTAGTGACATTATTTCTTATTCTTCCCTGATAATTAATTTCTCAACAACATCATATGATTCTCTTCAGCTTTGCAACAAAAAATTGCAACGCTTGATGAATTCTCACAACCAATTGAAGCTGCAGAGTTAGGAAACTGTTAAAAGACCCTCGCAGGATAAATAAATCAGCCCTTTAGAAACAAACATGAAAGCTTGAGAAAACCCCTTCTTCTGTCAGCTTCAACAGAACTACATATTTTATTCCCTAAACCCACTTTCACACTTTTCTCTGAACCTCAAACAAAGAATGGAAAAGAGAAATCTTGAAGTGAAATGAAACACCAAATTGAAAGGGTTCAGTGAACAATAATATAATAAGCAAGCAAGCAAGAAATAAAACGTACCTGGTAGAACAGAAACTGGTGCTTTGTAAAGTGGATAGGGAAACAAAACAACAACACAGAGTGACAGTGTGGGAGAATACACAATAGAAGAGAATAGACAGAGCTGGGGTTGGAGGATGTGTTTAATATGGGTGATGGGTGATGCGGGAAATCCACAAAAAAGGGAAAGCAAGCTGAAACAGTAGGAAGTAAGGTAGGAAGCTTCGTTCGTTGGAGTTGAATGGTTGACACTTTGACACTGTCAGATTGCATGACATGACATGGCAATGGCACACACGGGTTGCCCAAATGTCAAATGTATTATGCGTATATGTATCAATGAATGTGTTTATTATTTTATCTAAAGTACTAAAAAGTGAAATTCATATAACCTTAATCATAAAGAAGGGGCAAGACAAATGATAGTATTAAGTGAATTGTTTTTTTTTTTTCCTTTCATTTTTAACAAGTAATGTATCGAGTATTCAATATTACATTAATATATTATGAGTGAGGATATTCTAACTACTAAAAATTCTTACTACTAGCTTACTACCCATCACATCACTATTGGATCAAAGAGAGATTGTTAAAAAGTTTTAAAAAAGAGAAAAAATGTTAATCTAATAGTAATTAGATAAGTAGTAAGTTGGTAGTAGAAAATTTTGATAGTGAAAATATCGTATTATTACTGAAAATATATGTAAGGGAAGTGGTTGACTATAGGAGGGAATCTAATCTAAGGTTAAGGTTTGGCTTTGGATTCGGGGGTTGGAAAATGGAAAGAGTAGTTTATCTTTATCCCAAAAAAAATAAAAATGGAAAGAGTAGTAGAGTACACACATGACATGACAGAGCAAACAAACAAAAAAAACTGATGGCACATGTAATGATCACTTTAATCGTCGCTATCCTGCATAAAAGAAAGAGAAAGGAACTTGAAGTTTCAAAGTCATGGCAATGTATGTCAAATGTCAAAGGGGAGTGGTGGTGGGATTTGTCTGTCATTGGTGTTGTTTAAGGGTTGCTGTCCCTCCCAAAGCAAAAAAGCAAAATGCAACTCCTTTGGCTCCTCGTTTATCGAATCTTTGTCTTCTTTTGCTCTCTCTTCAGACGGAGCCTACTACGCTACTACAAACTCTACAACAACAACTACAAGTCAATGCTCATTCTTCAAAGCCCCATTCTCACAAGTCACAAGCCAAGCATTTTTTATTATTATTTTTTTTTTGAAAAAAGAGGTTACACTATATTATATTAAATTGATTAAGTGGGGTGAAAATATTGAAAGGCAAAAGCCGTTAATTAAGATCTTTTTCTTTTTCTTTTGGTCATCCTCGTGTGCTTTCAGTTCACACGCCCGAAAGCCAGCAATTCACTGGTCTCGATTCCTCACATGATGTAACCTCATTTGTCAAATTGGCCTTTGCTTTTGGCCCCTTTATTTTTTCACCCTAAAAACATAAACAAAAATAAAAAATTAATGTATCTGGAGTAACATTGCAGAGATAAATATAGTTGGGAGCCTCACCCTCGGATCTGCACACATCGGAGATTTTTAATGTCACTAATAAAATAGGGCCAGTTCTATCTCTTTCCGTACGTTTTTTCTGGTTGTAATATATTAATTGTGCAATCAAAGCAATTTGGTTATCATCAAACACATGGATATGACGATATGCTTTTTCTTTAAATTTTAAAGGCTTAAAAATAAATAAATAAATAAATAAATATTTATACTTTCAACAATCATTTTAGTTAAAATATTTGTTTTTTATTTAATATTTAAATAAAAAATTTCAATTTTCTCTTACTTTCTATTGTGTAACTCCATTTCATACTCTAAAATATTATAGTTTTAATTAAAATGATACAATTCTATATCCTTTCAAAGAGAAACACTAATCTCATGAAGAAAACCTTCTCAAGATCAGAAACAATTCAGTTATTAGGGGGTGTTTGGTTCCTGGATTTTGTGAAGAAAGATGAGAAAATTTGAAGTAGGTTTGTTGGTTCATTGTGTTTCTTACATTGCTATCTATCTCACTTCCCTAGTTAAGCCATTTGCAAGGCTATCTGAACCAAAAAAGCAGGCCAAATTTACTCACTTCTAGCATGATATTAGGAATTATCTAGCTATTTGTGAAAATTTGGCAAGCCATCGATGATCATGGTACCCTCATAATGCCTACGATCACTTCTGAGATATTTGGTGTAAAGCATATGGGTACCATTTTTAACACTGTTGCTTTATCGAGTCCACTTGGATCTTATATACTTTCTGTGAGAGTTGTTGGATATATTTATGACAACGAAGCTAGTGAAGAAGATAACTCATGCATTGGCGTTCACTATTTCGTGTCATCGTTTCTGATCCTGGCAGGTGTGGCTTTTCTTGCATTTTTGTTTGGTCTGGCATTATTCTTCCGGACCCAAAGGTTCTATAAGCAAGTTGCGTTCGAGACAAGTTAGATTTCCCACCGTCAAATTTTTTTACAAACAAGGTTATTTTCGTAATATCAACTTATTTTCTCATCTATATTTTACCTACAACCAAACATAGATTTCATAAAAGTTACCTAATTTTCCTGATAATTTTTTTTCCAACCAAACAACTTTTTTTTACATTTTTTTACCTATCTCACTTTCCAACCATTTTCTTATGTATAATATTTTTCTATCATTTATAAAATTTCTCCTCAACTAAATGATTTCAAATAACAGTACAATGTCTACCATCGGTTTTGATTAGCTTTTTCAGGGGCTTTCCTACAATTGGGCAGCCCAAGGCTTATGTGCAGAAGATATCATATGTATGCAAATTATCTTCTGATGCAATAAAAAAATATATACGTTTATAATAACTAATCACATATTCATCTTTTTCCGTTGGAGGTACTGGTGTTCTAAAGAGCTGTCAAATGTTTATAAATTATTTATTACATTTTATATACTTCAAACATTTATTATAAGAATTCATAAATAATAAGTTCTTGATAACTCATTACCAATTGTCTATTTTTTGTTATAAAATATAATCCTATTCGTTTCTAATGTTTTCTACCCAAAAAAAAAAAATCAATTATAAACATGTTAATTTTTTTTACAAAAATTACATAATTTGAGAAAAAAAAAACTCAATAATTATTTTAATATTTATTTTAGAAATTAAAAATAATAGTTTGAAAAAATCCAAAAAAAACTACATTACAAAAGCGTTTTTTTAAAACCTAAATTGGGGACATAAATTGCAAAAAGGGGGTAAGCAGCACATTAGAAAAATTATGCGTTTCTTTAAGGAGACAGAATTAAGAGAAATCAGTAGTTAGGAGTTATATTCTATCATTGTAATGAAGTTAGAGAATCCATCTTGAAATGTTACAATAAAGTTCCATGGTTCCGGCAAATAATGAAACGCAGACAAAAATTTCCCAACTCACCAATTTTTTTCAATGATGGGATAAATCAAATTGATATGAACAAACAACAAGAGTAGCTGCACCTATATCACTAACTTGTTCCCTGATATTTCCACCTTCTTAACACCATTTCCTTGGTCTGCTTCAGAACTGTAAAATGGCAATCTCCGCTTCAACTGATGCATCTCATCTGAGGATGTTTCAGTGGAACAAGAACCAACGCCATGAAATACAACACTACCATCTTCAACAGGGATGGCATATTTGTTTGCACTGGCATACCCATTGCTATAATTTCCATTGCCATTTGTTGCTGCTAACGACTTGCATTTAATCACATCTTCATGTCCTGAATCTTCTCTCGTGTTTTGATAATCCATACTAACAGAAGAATCATTATCAAAGCAAGAAAAGCCATTTGGCAAACCTGGAGAAGGACCAGACTTAGCCATATGACCAGCATCTTGCTCTTCCCTGCAGCCTAAAATCACTTCAGATGAACATGGATTTGATCTGCTTATTTCTATACTCCTCAAGTCATTGACAGCTTGAGAACTGTGTATATCAGATGATTCAACCGCACTACAGGAAGTCTCATTTGCAATGTCAACAACACCTATATCCTCATTGACAGCTTGAGAACTGTGTATATCAGATGATTCAACCGCACTACAGGAAGTCTCATTTGCAATGTCAACAACACCTATATCCTCAAAATGCTCTATTTTTGCATCGTAGTTCATTCCGGTTAAAGACACGTGTTCACAGCCAGAAACCTTCACCTCTGGACTACTATCAGATGGAAAAGCCTCACATCCTCTACTATAAGTCACGGTCTTCATATCTGAGAGGCATTCAGCTTGTTCAGCTGGGCCAGACTGCACTTCCACTTTGACTGTTTGTACTTCTGCTGTCCCTGAAGATTCAATGCTTTGAAGGCATGATGGTCGGGCTCTAACCCTGTTTCATGAGTAAATCATGTAATTCGTGTACCACATGGAACTACTTTAAACAAGCTTCCAAGATTTAAGATCTCACACAAAAAGCAAAGCAAATGCACTACAATGGGAATGTAAAACTAAACACAATCTCGAATCACGTAAGCATAATAGTTAAAATTGAATACATCACCAAGGCATAGGGTACAGGTTTCCAATGTAAAACAAACAATCAAGGCTAGGAAGGAGTGCATTGAGAAATAAAGCCTAATACTAACAAGAACAGAACTCAATCTTCTCTTGGTTACACATACAAAAAGGTTGGGGCAGTGTTGCAACAGTTGGCCTGGCCAACCATTCAAAAGATCAGACTACCACTCCAGTCCTGGGCCTCCTGGCCTTGTTAATAATCAACACCAACAAACAAATAGTTCGACTTGTGACCATGTTGACAGAACCAGCTATTTGGCCCAAAGCCCCAAATAACTAGAATTAGGCTTTTCTCTCACAAAAATGTAAGCCCAACTTAATATCAATCAACATAAAGAATAAACCTAAAATGTCAAAAGAAATGAGCAAATGATTAAGTTCAGCACTAATTGAGCCTAAACAAAGGTCAATTCTATTGAATGAAAATTCAAACGACAAAATCAGTCTAACTGAAGTTCAAAGGTCATATCATATTCGAGCACCACAAGAAAGATATGGAAGCACATATATTTTTGGAATTATATTGTCTAAGAGAGAGAACAGTAGCCTCTTCAACTCATGATCACAAGAATACCTGCTATACAACAGCATGTATGCGCCCCGAGAAAGTACCTCTTCCAATTCCACACTTATAACCTGAGAAATATAATGCAACCAAAATAAGGGTACTGAAACTTCAAGCACATGATAGAGTTCAGTAAACAAAAAAGAAAATGTTCAAAGTTGCAAGGAGACAATGAAATTACCTCACAATCATTGATTCTATACCAGTTTCCCCGGAAATCCTTGATGTAGCAGATGTAATGACCAAAAAATGAAGCATTAAGCATATCAATATGTACTACAACAGCATATAGCTTATAGATATCAGATCCATCTCCAACTTCACTCATGTAAGGGCTAAGGTCCAAAGTCTCAGGGAAAGTTACTCTCTTGTTAAGTTTTCCAAACCTCCCACTCTGCATGTTCACCACACCCCAGAAAAAAATGGTGAGAAAAATTGACAAAGAAAAGTTCATGAAACATTCAAGTCTTCAAGTCTTTATATACTAGTAGGAAAAAGAAACAAAGTACTCGGAAATTATGGTACATAGTAATCCATACATTTTGAGAGGGGCAATTACTACAAATCATACAACTGATATTTAACCCACTTATAGCATCTGTCAAGAACTCAGCAAGACTGTCTAGATCAAATTACTCAGACCTGAAATCTTTTTAAGGCAATTGTAAGAATATTTGGAGCTCGTTTCACAGTGAGACGTTTCCATGCCTTGACATAACCCTTGCACCTGCAAACAGTAACAAAACTTTGTGAAGACAGAACCCGCCTGACAGCAAAAGCACATCATTAAAGCAAATATTTGAATTCTATATTTCATGACATTTTACCTTATAAGTTCCCTAGTTATAAATCCGTTCAAATTTTGTCCCTCAGTCATCCAATACACACCCCAAATTATAGAAAAAAGCACATTTAAATGGAAAATAATTTTTGAACAATGAATTCTTGTAAAATTAGGGCATTTTTTTCCAAAATGTTAAATAAAAAACTATTTAAAAAATGTATTTTACCAAAATGAGATGGTTTTGCACACATGGCCATGCCACATGTGCAAAACACCATTCCGCATGATGCCTTGCATGGCACTACATGGAATGGCGTCTAGTGTGCCATGTGGCAAAGATGCCAATCCACATGTTTTCTTAATTAAAAGATAAATAGTTTGCAAATTTATTGTACGATGCATCTTGTGTGGTGGTATTATAGTACCCTCCCGCCAAACTGACCGGATTTTGATTCCCTGCTTACCCTTTTTCCTCAGACATGGCTTATAGTAAATTTGTAAAACTATTTATCTTTTAGATAAGATGCCACATGCACCAACGTCTTCCACAGACACTACCATGTGGCATATTGGATGTTCCCTTTCATGTGGCGCCATGCATGGCACCACGTAGAATGGCATTTACAAAACACCTCATTTTTATAAATTGTATTTTTTAAATATTTTTTATGAATAAATTTTTATTTGTCATTTTGGATAAAGTTCCCCAAAAGCAGCTCTTAAATTAATTAAAGAACTTATTAATAAAAAAATATGATTGTTGAAAGAGAGAATTATTGAGAGGAGTTGTGTTAGGGCACGCAGTGTTATGGTATTTATTGTTTTATTTTCAATCGATGAGAGAGTAATCTCAACTGACAAAAAATTAATCTCTAACATAATAATCAGTAATTGATTATTCTAATCTAATCAACACACATATAGTTGACTATATATTCTAACAATGATGCTAATATTCTAATATAAATGTTAATCTCCTAACAATTATCAACTCCACAGCAGCATTTATACATATTATTAATTCTTTTATTATATTTACACATATTTTTCGAAGCAACCTTACCCATCACATTTATACATATTTTCCCCATGAAGCCACTCCTTGACAGTAAACTGGTTAAGGCATTCCTCCAAGGAAGCAGCATCTCCATGAATTTCAACTGTCAAGTCCATCATATTTTCATACTGATTTGAATTCTTCTCACATTCTGTGCAAATCACCTAATTTTTTTTAAAAAAGGGCAGGTTAGGAAAGATGCCAGTGTCAGCAGCAAAATAACACAAAATGTAGAAATTGATAATTACACAAAGAAAAAGGAAGGCTTCAAAGATTCTTAATGTCCAATAAGCAAAAGACTAAATCATCTGGTACTATAACTTGGAATGCTCAAGAAGGCAGATTACATGACAGCTTGAGTCTAACCCATGGCCAGCAAGCAGAAAACCATTCTTTACGCATTCAAAGTTCAGCATTTTACCAATACCACTTACAAGCTGAATTGAATACCTAGTAACACCTTTATAAATTAAGCCATAAAATGCATTCCCCTCTATACTTGAAAGGCTACTTCAATTAAACAGATTAAACTAAATGCTTCAGTGCAACTATATCTTTCAGTCTTTGTGATCATGATTATCATTTCTTTGAAGGAAATAAACAAAAATCATGGGGATGATAGCAAGAGCCACTGCATTACAATAATAATTGCAAATTGAACAATGAAATAAAAACTATCTTTTCAACTGAAGGAAGGATGAGAAAAAGAGTAAATCTTAAGCCAATTTCTATAAAGAAGGACTAAAACAATAAAAAATGGTCTGTCCTCATCTGAAGAGCACAAGAAGATTTAAACTACAAAACTGTGTTATTCTCTGACCTGATTAAAGAAACAGATTTCTACACCATTATTCTCAGCTCTTAGGCTGGACTAACTTATTCAGTTCAGGAGATAGGAAGAGGAAACACAGCAAGCACCATCTAATGATTTCATGCCAAATAGCTGTCTAAATAGATGTCTAACCTCAGATTGAAGGTGTCCACCAAAAATGTGTTGAATAAGGGTTGTTTCTTGGAGGTTAGGAGGGACAGCTTTTTCTCCACCAAATTCATCAAGGCAAACAGATTGCATGGTATCAATGGCAAACCTACAACAGCATTAAAAATGTTAGGGGAAAAATAACCTTTAGTGTCTTACCAAACTAACATAAGATAAACATCCTTCTAAAATAGTCAATGCCCAATTCACTATGAAAATCAAATAACGTTGCTTCAAGAACAAAGAACCTCATGAACTCGTGAGCATCTTCTTGTCTTCCATAACCCAGTGTACCACCAATATTATGCACACGAGAGACTATATTCATCGGAGAAAATGCCTGTGAACTTAACATTGTCTTTTCAACATGGATTTCAAATTCACATAGAAAGCACCAATTGTTATGGCTGCCTGAAAAGCCACAACTAACAAACATAAGTATAAATAATAGTCAAGAATCAGCAAGCATTTAAAGGTCCAATCTATGACATTACATTCTCTACGGTGGCCCTTCTCCAACAAGTAGGCAATAAGTGGCCTTGTGAATGAGAGACATTGGAGAACCACATTCGCAAAGCAGCTGCACAGATTTGCAATATATATGTTAAATTCCACCTGAATCCTCTTATTGCAATCTATCCAATGATAACATGTAATAAAGCCAAGGCTAGGTTGTAATAAAGGAAAACCTGTTTTCACAATTGAAGAGTCCACAAGGAGGAAAGCCTGGTTTGTCCCAGTTAAAAAATTTAACAAATTCATCATAAGGAAAAAGAGGCTGAAAAACAAAAACAAAAAAGCATATAATTTTGGCATGCAAGACAGAAAATATATAAGATTCAACCAGGTAAAGATTGTATCATGTAATATTATCAATACATCCATAATAAAAAATAAATAAATACATTTTTAGGCTGCTTGTTAGGCCTGGAAGTTCCACGACCACATTCAGGGATCAGGGCAATTGAAGATGTACTTTTATTCACAGCTGCAGAAGCTTTAAACCCACTATTAACAGGCCCAGTTTGAGCCAAATTTATTGCACTGGTGCTCTGAAACTCCTTGCATTTCATCTTATGCTCAGATTTCCAGTGCGACTGTTGGCATGCTTCTGAGCTGAAAAATCGACAAAGGCAAGCCAAAGTCAGGTTCTTTTTTTTTTTAGAAAAAATATACAAATTGAGCAGTACTATAAGATGGAAAAACCAGTCAACTTCGTTGGTCAACCTTGAATTTGCAGCACAAGATTAACTAAAAAACTGATAACATCAACCAACCAATTAAAGGGTATATTTTTAGATGGGATAAGCAACAGGGATCAAACAAAACAAACATTGTCTTGCATCAAAACCTTCTTTATTATTATTATTATTATTATTATTATTATTATTATTATTATTAGAAAGAAAAGAGGTAGAAACCAGTATCGGACGGATTTGCAGCGAGAACACTTCTTATTGCTGGGGTTGCGACAAACGGCGCAAAGAGTGTCATCATCCATCAGAAAACCGGGCATGGCGCGGTTGTCACCGTCGAAATTGGCGTCGACTTCAAAGTACTTAGAGGCCGTGTTCTTCACCAACGTATGCAATCCAAACGCTACCACAAAAGCGGAGAATATAAATTGGAGGAGCCATTTCAGATCCCATGATACTCCAGAGACAAGCATCTACGATGATCCTAGGGTTTTTCATCCATCCATAACCATTAATTTGCTTACATCCCAACGTAACAAAACAACAAACCCAAAACCCTTTCTTGCTCCTTTCTAATCTTAAATCCTGTCTTCCTTAATCATCCCTCTCTGTTTCTCAGTTATCTATCAGTATCAATGTGACAGCGACAACTTTCTCGATCCTTTTTTCCTTCTCCGTGTTAGTTTTCTAAAACAGAACAATCACGATTAAGGAGCAATGTTAGTTTCGACACAAACAACGTTTGAGCAATTGTTTGTTGAAAGAGAAAGAGAGAGAGAGATAGAGAACTCAGTAACCTTAATTCCTTGGTCTTCTTGTAACGTTCTCTGCCGTTTTCTTTTTGTGCCCTTCTCAATATTTCTTTCCTGTTTTAAAACACAAAATTGTTATATACTTATATCCTAGTTCCCGGTACTTTCTGTTTTTATCAGAGTATCAATACTTTACTAGTCAATACAAATTATTAATAAATCTTATTAAATTAAGGGTTTGCATATGCAGTAAATTTAATACAATATTATTTTGCGACGAAAATTATAGTATTTTTATAATTTTAATTTATTTCAGAGTTACTATAGTTTTTATAATTATAATTTTTTAATATTTTAATTTCAAAATGACATTATTTTGAGAATTAATACAGAAACTTATCTGCAGTAACTGTAGAAATATTTTTATATTAAATTAAATATAAATCTGAAAAAAAATTATTTGATTTAATTATAAATAAGTAAGAACATGAATATATTCGAATATCTAAATGACATTGTATAATATTAAATTATACATTTTATAATAATTTAAAATATTTAGAGGATTTTTTGTAAAAAAATTTGTATACTATAATTTAAAATAGGGTAATAGTTTTCTCATGCAGTAAGATAAGTATTATCTCCTATTGACTCATTTATGTAAGTGGAGTCCACTTTATGTAAGTGGAGTCCACTTTCAGGGGAGTGAAAAAAAATAACGTGAGACTCATATTGAATTTGTATGTAGGAGATAAATTCTATCTTATGTAACATAATAAATTCCTTTAAAATATTAATAAAAGTCTTAGTATAATTAAGGATTAATACGTTATCTTTTGCAATCATTTTCTTCCTTTTTCTTGGTCGATGTCTGAGTTCCTACAATTTAAAATAAAAAAAATATTACTCAGTAATATAATAGGATATATGTTAAAAGTTAAAAAAATTATATTAATTATTTGAGAACTATTAAATATTTTTATAATTTTAAAATATTATTCATTTTTTGGTACATCATTCATATATTTATTTAATTATTAATATTTTATTTATTAACATATGCTCTGCGGTATAAAAATTCATTAAATTGTCTTTTTGATGCGTTTAAAATATATGTATGAGAAAATTTCTCAAACTGCTTGAGATATATTTATCTTTAATTACTTCAAAACTACATTGTTTTGTTTATTTATTTTCTTATATTAATTAATTCACCTTTCAATGGTTATGATTCTCTTTTTTTATCATCATTGATCCATTTTTGTACGGTTATAATTTAGTGGCCGAAGATAAAATTATTTCAAATAATTTAAAAAATGATAAGCTATATATATATATATGGATTTATTTGTTTTATGTTGTTGCATAAATTTTGCTATTGATATTTGAGTTCTTTTTTTAAATAATGGACTTCACAATAATTATTTCTATAGCGTAAGGTAAAAAATTTGCAGTAACGTAAGGTAAATAAAGCTAGTGCGTGTGCGGTGACCCGTTGTCACCCAAACGGTAGCGGAGGTAGGAGGAAAAGAAGATGTTCCAAATTCGAACTCCAAAGATATAGGATACAGGGTAGGGAACCCGTCCACGTGAGGCGCTTGAGTTTGCTTGTGATTATGAATTTATCATGATTTAAGAATAGGGAAAAACTATTCTTATGTTACATAAGATACATTTTCTCTCTTACACTCCCTTCGCTAACTGTGCCACTTTTTCTTTTCTTTTCTTTTATTTTTTCAGGTGGTGGATCCCACCAATTTATCTCTATGACATGAGATAACTATCTCCTTTAACATGAGATTAATAAAACCCTTAAGAATATCGGAATCCTCGTGTATCATGTTATGTAACTAGGTTGTCTCCTTTTATATTATTTAGGCATTGATGTTCGTTGATTAATTTATTAAATTGGCTCGTTTATATTTGATTCGGAACTTCACTTTTTTTTTAATTACTTTTCTTCCTCTCCATTCTTCACACTCATTGGGAGAAAAGAAAATGTTGATAAACCACAAAGAGTAGAACCGGTAAAATGGACTCGGCTCAGCGGGCCAACCCGATCCATCAGTTAAATAAGGTGGGGCGGATTGAGTTTTTCATATCAGCTCAAAAGTGGAATAGATTCATTTTTTGGCAGTTTGATAACGGGCATGGACAGATCAGTGTAAATTAGGCTCAGGCTGACGGGCTGAGTTTTTCATCTCACATTCAAAAGCGAAGCGAGACTGACTGACTCATTTTTTGACAAGTTGATGATAAGATGGGGCAGGGCGGCCGTAAACTTTGACACCTCTAACAATCAAAGTGGGTCTCATTCTCATATTCTCATTCGGCTATCACGCTGAATAATGGTTGCAATGGCATATCCGCGTCGGGGCAAATGTCCGCACTTGCAGACATGAAAATTTTGATTTTTGATTTTTTTCTTCTTCTTTGTTGCATGATGTTCCAGAGCACTCAGGCACACAACACACTCCATCACAGAGCCACCATCAACTTGCATATTCTTCAAGACTATAAACGTGGGCAGTGCCGCGATGATGGCAGGGTCAAGACCTGTGTTGGTTGGTTCCGTGTGATGATGATGATCAGCATTATGAGCCATAGTGAGGCTGAGTAGGTGAATGGAACCTCTAGGGCGAGATTGGCGTGCTAGGACACACAACCAGATGTAGATGGAAAATGAGAAGACGATAACCAATCAATGCCACGCATAAGCAAACAAGGGATATGAGGAATATTCTTCTGTTCATCTCACTGTCTTCCTCATTGCTAAGGAACATCCATGGCTTTGTTTTTGCCAGAGAGAAGGAAAAAGAGGGTTGCTTATTTCTTGTGGAGATTGGTTTGGTTTATTATATGGAAATTTTTTTCTCTCCTTTTAAACGACACAACTCGTGTTATTTTATTCTCACAAAGAGATGTGATCTACATCTTTTATTTTATTTTTTGTCCACTCTTTCTCGCGCATGATCTATCTTTTTCTCTCACTTAAAATGACATAATTTTACGTCCTTTAAGATGATATACACTTTTTTCTTAATTTATATATCATCTTTTACTAGTTTATGTTTCTATCTGTCTAGAATTGTTATTCACCCTATATATTTTTCCTGCATTAATAAGTCAATTCCTCCACGTGAAAGTTATATCAACAAAATTTTCGCGGGCGTTGCCCCCGAACCTCCGCCAATAAATATGCGGACATGAATTATTTTTTCTGGGTGTGCCACTGAATGGCTGTATAATATTTTCATCGCTAATATCAAACATGAAGTATTTTGGATAACACCTTTTAATTACACGGATCATGATACACGAGTTATGGTGATATTTTTAGTGCAAAAAGTAAAACGAAAAATAAATCAGCATATATTTTTCTTCTTGTTTATGCTAAGTAGGTTTTTATAAATGGTAAATTATATTTTTTCACCTACGAGATATATAAATTACATTGTATTTTTTTTTTTTAAAAAAAAAATACATTTTCTTCTACTAAAACACGAAAATGTGTATTAAATGATAAATGTTTCTATTAAATGATTTTTTTCATTAAAAGATAAATTTATTTAATAGGAATATGATTGAAAGTTATCTGTATTTTCAAACAAACAGGATAAAATGATGCTTTAAAATGATTATAGTATTGGTATCAGATATTAATGGTAGATCAAATGCATTTTTCAATACATTTGAATCCTTATAATCAAGAAAAAAGTTATGTTTACAAACTTTTTATTTACAAATTACATTATGTCTTATCAATAAAATACTTTTGAGTGAAGTATTATTGGTAAGACATAATATAGTTTGTAAGTTTATAAAAAAAAATTGTTAATATAACCCTTCACTGTAACAATATCTTTTAATATTTTTAAAAAATGCGTACCAGTATACAAGTTGGATACTACAATAATTAGATAAATAAATAATTTTATTATGCATTCAATGACTAATATTGACTTATCAAACCTTATAGAACGTTCATAAAAATAAAAGTCAAGCATTCCAAAGTGGTGGAGATTTTCCATCTTTAGAAGATGAAACTTTCAATCCCATAATAACAAAGTGGGTGCTGAGAGTTCAAATGGGAAGTGGTAGGTTTAGAAAATACAAGAAGCTATTATCTACTAGGTGACATGGAAAGGAAATAATTAACAATGCACTAGAAAAAAGCCTTACCTTCCAACCACTTAAGTATTAATTTGGCCAGGTAGGTAAGGAGATTATTTATGGTGTTCATATTGGACTGTTTCCTTCAAATATGACTATATATATATATATATATATATATATATATATATATCATCATCATCATCATCAATTCATCATCACTACTAATCCTGCCCTTGATCTTTAAGTGGTAGTTTTTTTCATCTTCGAGAACTACTATTTTGTTCCCTTTTCAAGTTTCAATTTCAAACAAATAAAACATTACTTTCAGCCTTTCACTATATGGCGTGGGTTGTGTGATATTAGATAAATTTTATTCTCTCTTAATTATTTTTTCTTCGCTAAAGAGGAGATTAAGTTCCAATTCAATTCATCGCGCGCCCACAAAAAAACAAACGCGAATCAGCTACTGTGATCTATGGGCTAGCTGAACCCGTGAAGGCCCAAATAGATATTATTGGGCTCAATGGCCTAGTTGTTCCTGCAGAAGCATAGTTGTTTAAAGTGCATTGTACTCGAGACCAAAAAATTAAAAGTGCATTCTAATTCTCTCAGTGGTGTTATATTGTTTAGAATCAGAGGAAATCGTGGAATTAATTTCGAACATATATCTCTCTATATATCCACGTGATCTACAAGTAGTAAGATTAATTAGACAGATAAATTAAAAAACAAGTGGTCATCACACAATATATATATATATATATATATATATATATATATATATATATATATATATATATATATATATATATATAAATAAAGTATTCATATGACTAGCTTCTTTTACCTAGTGGAAGGAGCTCTCGACGAAATGCGGAACATTTCAATTTTAATGGCAGGCCAACATGGCAGCATTATTTGGGTTTTATTAAAGAAATCAAAACCCATTCACTGCTCTTTTTTTAGTTTTTATTTATTGAA